TATCTTTCTGTATATTACTGCATTCTGAAATGTTCAGGACTATGTCAGCAAGCTGGAAGGCAAATGGTTTTAAAAACACCCATGGGGTCAAAATCTCCTGGAAAGTTTGAATATGCCCCTTATTCAGTATGTGACCTTAAGGCAAATTACTTAACCTCCATGACCCTCAACTTGCTTATCTCTAAAGTGGGAATAATAAAGCCTACATCATAAGGGATTATGTCTGAGGTACACAGTACCTAAAGTATAGAAAGTATTCAACCAATGAAAAATTCCCTCTCCACGCTGCCTTTTGGTGACAGCAAACTATGGATTAAAAATATTAGTTAACTTAGTTCAAATACCCTAAACATTCAAATCATCAGACTACTTCTTCATATTTAAAAAATGTTTAAAGACAGATGAAGTTGGAGATTTTCCTTCCATAGTTTGGAATTTCATTTTGTTTAACTTTTTAATTCTGTGAAAAGTAGAAAAATAAGAGCATGTCACATAGTTTTGGTAAAAGCAGCCATGGCCTCTCTACTCATTCACAGTCATAGCCTCTGATTTCCCAAGACAGTGTTAATAGCGGGTGTGCTTCTTGTGTTTTTATAGACAGAACTCATTTACCCGTGCTAATGGCTTTGAAGTATTTGATATGATTATTTTTGCACCACATTTAACTTTTTGTTTATGTTTTGCTTAAGATAATATTAAAATTCGGGTGTGATTTCGAAGCACAAACTAACAGAAAAATGCAACAGAGTACACCAGAAATGTTATACGATGGGTGTGTAGGTAGAATGGGGCCATGATAAAAAACACAACGTGTTGTTGGTAACTCATTAGGCAGACACTCCAAATGTACATCATCACAGTCTGGGCTTAATTACAGAGTTGGATGAAGCCGTAGCCTCACTTTATAGAGCCTTACTTCACATTAGGGAACTAAAGCCCAATTTTGTTGACTATTGAAAGCAGGGACTAGACAGAATTAAAATAATTTCAGAAATGTCTTTTGCTGCTTCTCAGAGTTCATCAAAGCCATTCCTTTTTGCTTACAGTCCTCAAAACAGTCTTTTAAAATTTTTTATTATGAAAGGTTTCAAATATGTGCAAAAGTGGTGGGGGCAATATAAGAAATCTGATGTAGTTTGATTCAGCCTCAGCATTTAACGACCTATAGCCAATCTCGCCTTATTTGCATTCTCACTTTCTCCCCGCTTCCACGCCCTACACCTCAGACTTCATATAATTTCATCTGTAAATATTTCAGAGTGTTTCCTTAAAAGATATGAACTCCTATTTAACGTAACCACAGTACTATTATCTCACCTTGAAAATTAACACTGATTCCTTAATATTATTTATTGTGACTTAATATTATCAGTCAGAAAATGTCATTCCCCCCCACCACCCCGCTTTTTAAAGGAACTTGATTACTTGGCTTTCACGTTCCAAATTAGTTGTTTTGCTTCCATGACACAATCGTTTCATGAATACTCTTTCATAATGACTTTCATTGTGGATGTATGTAGTTGGTATGTTTTGTGATATGTTGTAGTATCTTCCTAGAATGAAAATTTATCACCTAATTGGAAAATAAAAATTGAATCATTATTCTAGTCCTACCCCACCTTCACTGATTCGTTTGGATAACTGTTCTCCAAACTTATTATCTTCAAATGAAATTACATGAGAAAGGCCACTGTAGAACATGGATAAAAATGAAACTGCTCTGGGGCTAAGCTGCTGACCACTAATTCAGCTCATTCTTTCCCTGTGTGGGTTCTTGCAGGTTTTGGTATGTGAGTGTTTTTTTAATAAATGTGTACCATTTTCCCATTTTGATTTCAGGGCAGACGAATTGCTGTGCAAAGCAATGTAAAGAATAAGAAAGGATTGCATGCATAGCCAGTATGACAAAAAAAGACAGTACAGTGCTTAATTTTTAAGTTTACTACCACTGAAAAGAATGTTTCACTTAAAGTAATTAAAAAGTTTATTGTAATCAGAAAAATCCACTGTGCTCATAATGACCCCACTTCTCAGTTGGCTATATTGGGGCCTCCTGGGAGGAGATGTTATTTGTTCCCTGTCAAGATTAATCTGTAAATGCAGTCACCAGTTAGACCTCATCAGTTCTTTCCTTCCTCTTCATTGGTCCCCCTGGAAGTATATTGCTGCTTGAATAAGGTCAAATTAGGATATTTTTCCCAAGAAAAAACATAGCAGTTGTTATTTCAGTGCTTTAAAATTTGAGAATCAAGCCTGTTTTTTTAAACAGACCGTGTTATACATTTCTGACACAGAATCAACAAACTACCAAAATAATACATACTTTTTTTCAGTGTGTGTATCGGTTTCTTCCCCCACAAAAGCCAGGACACAGAGTGGTCTCATGTAAAACCACAGTGGATTGGATATTTAATAGCTTGTGTCTAACTCCTGCAGATAATCCCAGTGAATTCCCACTGAACTTGGACAGATCACTAAACTTCTGACTTTACTTTCAAATTGGCACCATATTACTTGCTACCTTCCTCACTGTAATGTTATAAAAGTAAAATTATCAATCCAGTTCTTCTATTTCCTTTTGTCAAGGTGTAATATGAAATGCCTTTTCTTCTCTAATAGTTGGAAGTATAGAATAAGTTCTCCAACTTGTCTAAATTTAAATAAACTCATCCTGTGAGTCAGAATGTTGCTTTGGAATTTTTTGTAAGTTGAATTATATACTCATTTTACTTCCCCAATAAGGTTGTCTTTGAGGGTTGGAAATGTTTATTCTGTTTCTTGGTAACCTTTAAAAGTTTGAAGTACAGTATATAATGGATACTCAATAAAGGCTTAACTACCATTCAGCAGTTTGCAAATACAGTCAGTATGTATTATTTTATATTTTAAACCTCTAAGTTAGCTATTAAAGCCAAGCATTAAGGGAACAGTAGGAAACAAAACTTTTTTGCCAGTAATAGATGGTGTAGAAAGCTAGTGTGTTTCACTCGCCTTTTTTGATTTTCTCATTTTTTAAAAATTTTCTGTATCACTGTTAATTCTGTACTGGCAAATATTCCTTCATTAGCTAAAAGTAAAGAATAGAATTAACACCAAGTCTCAGATCTCTATCCTCTTTATTAAAGAAAAGAGAAAATGAGAGTTCTTCCACTTGAGGAGCTACCAAAGAAAGTGAGTGGAGTGGCTCAAAAACAATCAAGTTATCCCCCAAATCAGGTGATTTAACACACTGAGAGCGTTTGCTCCGTGACTGAGTGGCATTTTACTGAGTAGCACAACTTTTACAGAAAGCATAGAATCCTGAAATTCTAAAACTGTACTCATTTTCCAAGTCAGCCTGATGAAGTGAGGGCCTTGGGGTTCTCTGCAGGTACAGAGAGAACAGAGTAGGTCTGATGTTCTACTTGAGCCTTTTTGGCTAAGATGAGCCATGTTGAGGACTCTGTGTGTTTGCATATGCGTTGGGATGCCTACCTCAAGAGGTAAATACCCCCCAAATTAAATGTGCTATCTTTCCTTTTTAGACACTTCTTTTTCCTTTACCATCTTACAGAAGTAGTAAAATTCTGCTGTAAACTCTTTGTCCTACAGAGCCCCTTGCCTCCAGGCTCTACTTGGTTGTCACCATGTTGAAGTAGTTTGGTGTGTGGATGTTTGCCCCACTGAACGATATTTTTGCCTGTGGGCCCTCAAAGTGTGTGGATATCTGAGTGGTTCTCCATCACAGTCACTTGCCACTGGAGGAAACACAAGTCCGTACTTGTTCCCAGGCCAGAAGGAGGCTCCCTGCCAAGACCCATCGGTTGCTGCTGACATGCACACGCTGTGTGAATCACACGGCCCCATGGTGGACTTTTATTATGTCTGCCCAGGAGTGTGGTCTGCCAATCCCTGGTCCAGAGGCCCACCCCCAGGCGCCTTTGACATTTCAAGTATAAAGTAAATAAAGAGCTTTGCATGTGTCTCAGAGCAAAGAAGAAGACGAGGGGCTGGGGGTGTTTCTGTCTGATCTGTAATCCAGTGGACACACTTTCCCTTAGCCACTTCAGGACTCACTTTACTGACACTTCAGACAGCTGATTAAACCAAGTTGGCTGGGTTTAAGGGTTTTTTTTTTCAAGCAAATAAAACTCACATCTTTCCTTCTGAAGATGTCTGACTGGTCATAATATTTCAATTCCCTAACAGCATGTCTATTCATTAATTGAATGTGGACCTGGAGAATTATTTAGGTGATAATCCCATTTATAACATGGCTTTATACTGGGAAAAATATCAAGAACCTGAAGACTTTGCATAGTCAAGCAATTTTCTTTCTCAAAACCATAAATGCTAATGAAGCCAACAAGGAAACCAAATCCAAAAATAAAAGGTAAACTAAGGAGAAACTGGGTGACCCTTTAAAAATAAAACTTTATTTCTTGAAAACTTTATTTATAACAGTAACTGATACCTACAAAGCACTTATTACATGCTAGGTAATGTTCTTCATATTTTACAAATATTAACTCAATTGATCCTTTTAACACTCTGGGAGATTGGTCCTATTACTACCTCTTTTCTAGAGATGAGGAAACTGAGACATGATTTGCCTAAGGCTGCTCAGCTAGCAAGTAGCAGAACTGAAATTGAAACCCAAGAACCCTGACTGCAAAGAGCAAGTGCTTCATCTGGCTGCCTATTGAAGACCATCACAGTGAAACTGCAGTTCTTCATTTCAGTACCTTCATTTTTCTGCTGCAACAGTTTCAGAGCCCCCTCATCCCTTTTCTCCAATACAGACTGCTCCTTTGTGGGCTATCTCTAACTTCAAAATGTACATGGTTATTTGTAAAATAACTCTGTTGGCTGTGGGAATTATAGATAACCGATTTGAACATATTTTGTTGCAGAGTTAACCTTAATCCTCACATTTGCTGGCCTCATCAGAAGTATATAATGCTTCATAGCCCTGGCAATTTTATATCACAGTACGCTTCATGCCATTTGCGTATACATACCACACCATCACCTGGACTTTCCTCCTATTCCGTCCCTGGAGACTTCCAGCAGTTTTGCCATTCTGACTCTGTAGGAATAAACAGAGCATTTCAGTTGCTTCATCCACCACAGCACAGACTACTCCATTTCTTCTTTTAAAGAAATTTCTCTTTTAAAAGAAAACTGTTTCTCTTCTAGCAAATTACACTTGCTGAGTTTATCTCCAGAAATCTAATGTCTATTTAAAAGGGAGCAGGTGTGTTTTGAGGACAAGTCAGAACCCTGAATTCTTACCTGATCTCTGCTTGGGGCTTTGGGCAAGTTACTCGACCTCCTTCTGCCTCTTCACCCCCTCTTCATGGCTCAAATTCTTTACCTAGAGTTTGGGTAGACAGTATCTGCTTCCCAGAGGATACGCCTCAGATTGAAGGCCCTCCAAAGTTTATAAAAATCACTTTTCCAGGACATCCCTGGTGGTGCAGTGGTTAAGAATATGCCTGCCAGTGCAGGGGACACAGCTTCAAGCCCTGGTCCAGGAAGATCCCACATGCCGGGAAGCAGCTAAGCCCGTGCGCCACAACTACTGAGCCTGCGCTCTAGAGCCCGCAAACAACAACTACATAGCCTGCGTGCCACAGCTACTGAAGCCCGCACACCTAGAGCCCGTGCTCCGCAACAAGAGAAGCCACCGCGATGAGAGGGCCACGCACCACAACGAAGAGTAGCCCCTGCTCGCAACAACTAGAGAAAGCCCGCGTGCAGCAATGAAGACCCAATGCAGTCAAAGATAAAAATAAATGAATGAATGAATTAAAAAAATTTTTTTTTCCTACTCTGCAAATGGCTCCCAGTATCATGGCAGCTCTGGATTTGGGGACATAATGGAGTCGGTATATGGGAGTGCTCTTCTCTTCTTTGAGGTGCAGAAATACAAAGAAAACTCTCCTAGCAGGACCATTTGGTAGTCATAAGCACAGGAGCCCTGAGCAGGACCAGATGGCAAGCCTGACTCACCTTGACCTGAGATGTCGCTCTTCTAGCCACGGGGGCTAGGCTAATAGTTCATCAGATGTCACCATGGCTGATGAAGTAGGTAACTGTAGCCGGGGAGTATGAGCAACAGACCCTGCAACTGTGGCCTTTTCTTTTTCCTCTTCTTTCTTCCTGAGGCCGGCAGGTAACCCGTTTGTGACCCGGAACACTCTCATTGCACTTTCCTGTGCAGTCAAGTTTGATAAACAAATTCAGCTGCAGGGAACTGGAGAGGGTGGGGCACATTAGCAAGAGAGAAAGAGGGAAGAGGCAGCTTTGGCCTCCAGTCTCCCATTTTAACAAGGTGTGGCCCTCAGGCTGGAAATCTTGATATAAAAAAGCCATAGCGAAGAACTTCATTTTCACTTACAGAATTTTCTAAAATCTATTTCACTTTTTTTTTTTTAAATCACAGCACACTCCATTTTCTTTATAAATGGAGTGAAAGATAAATTGAATTTCTGGGCAATCTAGTGTTTGTTAAACTAATGGTTCAAGCTGCCTGTCTCATCAGTTACTTCAGTAGCCTATGCATACTCATGACTTCCCAACACAAGTGGAGGATCTCTTCCTTGAAGTCTCTGCTCACTTCATTCCCCAACTAGATTTCTTTCCTTATCTTCTCTTCAACTATTCCAAATCCTACCCTTGAAAAGTCCCTGTGCAAGTGCCCTTCCCTGCTCTGAAATCCTGTCTTTTACTGTCTTTCAGTGGAATCACTGGCTCCATCCCTGTGAGTGGGAACTGACTTCGGACCTACGCAATACTCCTAGACTTGGGTTTCCATTTTATTATTTTTCATTTTTTCATTAAATGTCAAATAGATATCAAAAAATTGTAAAATAGGTGTAATATACACAGAACACAGTGAATACCCATAGATCAAACAACCAATTTAAGTAAAAGAACCTATCACTTTCTTTGAAATCTCCTGTGTCCGTATACCTACCTCCCATCTTCTTCACTCTTCCCTCAGTAAATCCACTATTATTTTTATTTTTTAAGTCCTTGTTGAATTTGTCACAATATTGCTTCTGTTTTATGTTTTGGTTTTTTGGCCACGAGGCATGTGGGATCTTAGCTCCCCGACCAGGGATCGAACCTGCACCCCCACCAGTATTGGAAGGTGAAGTCTCAACCACTGGACCGCCAGGGAAGTCCCCACTATTCTTAATTTTTAGTTCATCATTCCCTTTTGTTTGTAATTTTACCTTATATATTTGTATCCTATGTATGTTGTTTAGCTGTGAATGTTTATAAATTTTATGCATGTATTCATCTGTGACTTCCTTTTTTATTTCGAAGATTCATCCATGTTGTAATGTAACTGTAATTCATTCATTTGCTTATTCTATTCCAGTGTATAACTGTACTTCAGTTTTCTAATTCATTCTCCTATATTGATGGACATTCAGATTGTTTCCTTTTGTTTGTTTGCTATTACAAGCTGTCACTGTGGACATTCTTACACATGTCCTGTTGACACAGGTCCAGGAGCTTCCCTAGAGTATATGCCTAAGAGTGACACTGGGTCATAGTGTGTGTGCATCTTTGATTTTACTGGATAATACCAAACAGTGGTGGATGGGAGTAACTAATACTGACTGTTCTTGACAACTGTTGTCCAACTTACATTTTTTTTCCAATCAAGAAGTTGTGAATGTTTTTTCATTGTGGTTTGAATATATATTTCCAAATTACTAATGAGGTTGGACACTTTTCATAAGTTGATTGGCCATTCATGTTTACTTGTGTGAAGTTTCGTTCAATTATTTTGCTCATTCTTTTTCTACTATGTGGTTAGTCCTTTTCTCATTGGTTTATAGGAATTCTTTACACATTCTGGATAGAAATTTTTTGTCAGTTACATATTTTACAAATACTTTCTCCCAGTTTGTGACTTCTCTTTTCACTTTCTTTTTTGATGACTTTTTACTAATCAGAAACTCATGTTTTCAGTTAATTAAATATATGTCTTTTCCTTTATAATTAGCATTTTTTGCAAGTGTTTAAGAAATTCTTTCCTAACCAAAACTCATAAAGATATTCTCTTTTAGGTATTCTCTTTTAGAAAGTTGCATGGTTTTGTCTTTTTTTTTTTTTTTCATGGTTTTGTCTCTCACTTTTTGGTCTGTGACTTGTATTGATTTTATTTTATTTTTTCAAAATATTTATTTATTGGGCTTCCCTGTTGGCGCAGTGGTTGAGAGTCCGCCTGCCGATGCAGGGGACATGGGTTCGTGCCCCTGTCTGGGAGGATCCCACATGCAGCAGAGCGGCTGGGCCCGTGAGCCGTGGCCGCTGGGCCTGCGCATCCGGAGCCTGTGCTCCGCAAGGGGAGAGGCCGCAGCGGTGAGAGGCCTGCGTACCGCAAAAAAAAAAAACAACTTATTTATTTATTTGTTTGTTTGTTTGTTTTTGGCTGTGTTGGGTCTTCGTTGCTGCGTGCAGGCTTTCTCTAGTTGCGGCGAGCGGGAGCTACTCTTCATTGCGGTGCGTGGGCCTCTCAGTGCAGTGGCTTCTCTTGCTGCGGAGCACGGGCTCTAAAAATGAGGGCTTCAGTAGTTGTGGCATGGGGGCTCTAGAGCACAGGCTCAGTAGTTGTGATGCACGGGCTTAGTTGCTCCGCGGCATGTGAGATCTTCTTGGACCAGAGCTTGAACCCGTGTCCCCTGCATTGGCAGGTGGATTCTTAACCACTGCACCACCAGGGAAGTCCCTATATTGATTTTTAAAAAAACAATTAGCTCAGTGTCATATACTGAGCTCTGTAATAAATCAAGTTTTCATATGTACGTGGGTCCTTTGCTGGGCACCTGATTTAATTTAGAAGATCCATTTGGTCTATCCTAGTGCCAGTAATTTTTGTATCATTTAATGTCATTTTGTATTAATTATTGACATCTGGTGTGACACCCTCTCTCCTCCCTTGTTATTTTTCACTAGGAGTATCTTGATTATTCTTGAACTTTGTTCTCCCACATAAATTTTAGAATCATTTTGTAAGGATGCACACAAAGACAGGCACACACAGAGCTGTTTGTTTTGTTTGGAATTGCATTAATAATTTAGATTAACTTGGTGAAATTGATGTCTTGATAATATTGAGTTTTCCATGCCACTAACATGGGGTATCTCCTCATGTATTTAGATTTTCATTAATATCTTTCAACGAAGTAAGTTTTATAATTTCTCTCTAAATGTCTTGCATATTTATTATTAGAATTATTCTTAGGTACTTTATATATACACATATATTGTTTTTATTATAACTTACATATTTTATACCATTGTAAATGGTATATTTTTATTAAATTACATTTTCTAGCCATTTGTTGCTGATTTTAAAAATATTTTGCAAAAGATTGGATTTATTTGCCCAATCAAGTTTACCGGTAATTTGTCAATTTCATTGGTCTTTTGAATTTTATTTTCTTGATCTTCCTATTATTTGTTTTTTTATTTCATTAATTTCTGTTCTTTTTTTTCTTTCTTTCCTCTACTTTCTTTTAGTTTACTTTTTCTATTCATTTCCTTAGTTTTGGTTATATAAGCTTAACTCATTAATTTTCCATAATTCTTTCTTTCTCTGTTATAGGTATTTGGGCTATAAATGTCCTTCTACATTGCACTTTGACCGAATTCCACACTTTTTGATATGTAGTGCTTATCATTCCATTTTAATATTTTCTAATTTTCATAATGATAACTTCTTTGAACTGTGAGTTATTTAGAAGCATATTTCTTAATTTTCATTTATATAAGGGTTTTTATCTAGTCAACTTTTCATTATTGATTACCAACTTAATTGAATTTTGGCCATACAGTGTCATCTGTATATTTTTTTTCTTAATTTTTTCTTTTTTTTTTGCGGTACACAGGCCTCTCACTGTTGTGGCCTCTCCCGTTGTGGAGCACAGGCTCCGGGCGCGCAGGCTCAGCGGCCATGGCAAAGGGGCCCGGCCGCTCCGCGGCATGTGGGATCTTCCCAGACCGGGGCACGAACCCGCGTCCCCTGCATCGGCAGGCGGACTCTCAACCACTGTGCCACCAGGGAAGCCCTTTTCTTAATTTTTAAATTTTATTTTATTTATTTTTTTATACAGCAGGTTCTTATTAGTCATCAGTTTTATACACATCAGTGTATACATGTCAATCCCAATCGCCCAATTCATCACACCACCACCACCACCACCCCCCTGCGGCTTTCCCCTCTTGGTGTCCATACGTTTGTTCTGTACATCTGTGTCTCAATTCCTGCCCTGCAAACTGGTTCATCTGTACCATTTTTCTCGGTTCCACATATATGCATCAATAAACGATATTTGTTTTTCTCTTTCTGACTGACTTCACTCTGTATGACAGTCTCTAGATCCATCCACATCTCAACAAATGACCCAATTTCGTTCCTTTTTATGGCTGAGTAATATTCCATTGTATATATGTAGTACATCTTCTTTATCCATTCATCTGTCGATGGGCATTTAGGTTGCTTCCATGACCGGGCTATTGTAAATAGTGCTGCAATGAACATTGGGGTGCATGTGTCTTTCTGAATTATGGTTTTCTCTGGGTATATGCCCAGGAGTGGGATTGCTGGATCATATGGTAATTTTATTTTTAGTTTTTTAAGGAACCTCCATACTGTTGTCAATAGTGGCTGTATCAATTTACATTCTCACCAACAGTGCAAGAGGGTTCCCTTTTCTCCACACCCTCTCCAGCATTTGTTGTTTGTAGATTTTCCGATGATGCCCATTCTAACTGGTGTGAGGTGATACCTCATTGTAGTTTTGGTTTGCATTTCTCTAATAATTAGTGATATTGAGCAGCTTTTCATGTGCTTCTTGGCCATCTGTATGTCTTCTTTGGAGAAATGTCTATTTAGGTCTTCTGCCCATTTTTGGACTGGGCTCGTTTTTCTTTTGATATTGAGCTACATGAGCTGTTTATATATTTTGGAGATTAATCCTTTGTCCATTGATTCCTTTGCAAATATTTTCTCCTATTCTGAGGGTTGTCTTTTCGTGTTGTTTATGGTTTCCTTTGCTGTGCAAAAGCTGTGAAGTTTCAT